GTGTGTACGTGTGCGTATGTGCGTATATTTAGGTTATTGTGGCACCTACGGACATATACAAACGCTGTGGTTAATTCATATACTACTCGGTTAGTTAGGATAAGCACCATTAGGTCTTGACATTAAGTGTTTGGGTGACCGAGTGTACACAGTTCTTGAATACTGATGACCTCTCTAATATGTCTTTAAACTCGCTATGCCTTTACATATATATGCAAATACACGGAGATAACTACAAGCACAAGCAAATACACACATACATACATACACACACACACACACACACACACACACACACACACACACACACACACACACACACACACACACACACACACATACATACATACACACACACACATGCACACACACATACACACACATACACACACACATACACACACACATACACACACACATACACACACACATACACACACACATACACACACACATACACACACACATACACACACACATACACACACACATACACACACACATACACACACACATACACACACACACACACACACATATATATATATATATATATATATATATATATATATATATATATATATATATATATATATATATATATATATATATATTTATATATATAACACACGCATACATACACACTCTATCAATAAAGTCCGTCCCGAAGATGCTTATTTAGGCAAAACAATTCAGTGATCCAACTTTGCTTTCAGGATGCTGGGCAGGCAGCAGTGATGCAATCAATACTGAGCGAGGTGGGGAGGAGCCCCTTCTGCAGCAGCAGCAGCACCACCCCGCCCTCCCACGAGGCGAGGAGGAGCAGCTCCTGAAGCAGCAGCAGCAGCACCTCACCCTCCACCCTCACACTCCACTACTGGCAGTCACTCTCCACGCTCAGGATGCAGGTCACAGTGACTCGGAGGTGAGGTCAGGCCAGGATGACCCCCGAGTCTTAGGGTCCTCATCACAGTCTTCCACTTCCCAGCAGTATTTGCAGTCGTCTTCCCTCGGTGGCAGCAGTGTGGATGTTAGCGGGGCGTTGTGGAGCGACGACAACAACACTCCTGAACGACAACCATTTCACCTCTCAGAGCTTCTATCGTCGTCCTCAGCGCAACAAGTTTCCCTGTGGCCCGACCCTCCGCATCCGCCGCCGCCGACATCAGCTACAGGAACGTCATCGTCCCTCCCTCCAGTACGCGGCTCCGACACCCCTTCCTCAGGAGATCTCGCTCCACGAACCTTCAGCCACAACACACACAAGACTGAGCAACGACAAGATGTACCTTTCACTGGGAACAGGAACCACCGTCGGTTGCTGCAAAAGAGCCCCAGAATCCATAGAGTCAACAGGACTCCCAGGATCAACAGGAAACATCTCCAGGCATTTACTTTCGGCGGAATGCCCTTGAATGCGAGATATCTAAAGACGAATATCCAAATTGACAGAGGCAAACTTTCCCCTCGTAAAAGATTAAAAGAATTCGCGGAGGAAAGAGAGAGCAGCGTTATAGATCAAGAAAATGGCGTGAAGGAAGAGAGTGAAGAATATCAACATGATGGTTCACAGACCTTTCCTTCAAGCCAGGAGGAGTCAGGTGTCTCTGAATTATTACCTGCAAAAAGAAACGTCACGAGTCAACAAGCTCACGAACATTCAAAGGAAATTCGACATGAGAAATTGACACGAGATTTTCCGGCTCAGTTAACGAAACAGGAAGAGTCAACAGAGAGGTTCTCTAAGGAGAACAAGTTAAGAGAGGTGAACGAAGGAGCAAGAAGAGACAGCAACGGTGAAATAACGAACACGGTAAACAGAGGTGTCGAGAGTTTGGCAGATAGTTCCAGGGACCCGAGTCTGAACGAGACAGCTTCAGACAGGCCTCAGAAGGTCAACTTAGACACCCTGGAGATGGAACTGTCTGAGAAGGAGGAAGAAGCAGCGAGTGACCTCCTGCTGGCCATCTCCATCCTGCAGCATCACCTGGTCCCTGACACGTCGCCTCCGAGACGCGAGGCTCACGCACACAACGCCTTGTCCCAGGCACTGGTCGATCACTCCAGGTTCTCTGACAGCTCTGAACCTCGCCGAGCTTACCACATGCCGCACAACGCTCAAGAAAATAGCAAAAAATTTAATATTGAGATATTTGATACACTGTCTCCTGGCTCGGACGAAGTTGTGGGTGAAGTAGAGCTGATGGAAGCCAACAGTGTTCATCACACGACCAACCTGCAAGAAGAAGCTGATCTGAGGGAGCGTGCAGGTTCCCGTTATCGCTGGTTCGTTCTCGTCCTTGTCGGCAACTGCTCCGTCATCAAGCCACGGATGACCACCTTCGTCACGTTCCTGAAAGCAGCGCTGTCGGCGAAGCTCTCTATCGACTACAATGACGTGTTCGTACCATCGGTGTTTTGTGACAACACCTTTATGGTGAATATCAGCCTCAATGCACTTAAGTACCCGCAGGTGGAGGTAAGGCTGAGGAAACTAGCCGAAGCCAACACCACCCTCCTGGAGATCTCAGAAGAAATATTCTACCTGGAGAAGATCCTGACTAAGAGATCTGACGAAGAGGAGCCGAACTTCCAGACGATCATCAAGAAGCCTGATGACGTGGAGCTAGTCATCTACATCGCTGTTGGGTGCATGTGTGTCTTTATCCTGCTGTCGGTGGTGATCGTCATGCTGATCCGCTTGTGTAGGCAGGATGGGGATACCTTAGACCTCGGCAAGCCTCACCCCCACCAGATAATCCCTCGCTCCCTCGACTTCCCCATCAGGAGGCCTAACGTCATCTACTCCCACAGGTGGGTTGCTCCTTCGCCCAAGCTTCCTATCAGGGCTGAAACTAATCAAATCTTGCCCAGAGACACTGTACTGTATAGCAGATGGAAAACTTGAAATTAATAGTCAATCGATGAGGAACTATCTTAGGAATTTACTATGTAGTGACCTTTTGTATAACAGAGTGAAAACCTAGCTGGGGTAGGCTATGAGATCTTAATGGGTCATCATGTGACCTAAGGCCCGTGTCCAGAGACATGGTCGTCTTTAATGACGCACAAAACACCAAGTTTATCTGAGTGTGACATTATATGAGCAATTGTTATTACATTTCATGAGCTGCTAAACTCGAATTGTTCAAAACACTTGTCAACAAAACTCTTCCCAGTTCTCCTGGAGCCAGAGGCTCATTCACGTTAGTGCTAACTCCCTGAAAGCGCAAATATCGCAAACAAGCGATACAAGATGCAAAACAACCACGGGGGGAGTTGAATGATAGCTCTTGGCCTATCAAGTTTCAATCAACACATCAGGAGCTTGCAATGTAGCAAAAAAGAGGAGGAGATCCAAGCAGATACGATCACAGTGAACGCCTTTGCTGCAGCATAGACTCCTGATGTGTTGATTGCAATACCAAAGGCCTAGAGATGTCTTTCAACTACCCCCAGTGTGGTATGCGTACCTTGTTCCAAGGTTCGTAGGTTCGAGTCTCCTTCGGCCAGAGATCAGTGTTTGTGAATATTTCACCTGTTCTTGCGAATTCTATTATATATTATATATATATATATATATATATATTATATATATATATATATATATATATATATATATATATATATATATCATTGTCTGAAATATATCTCCAAGTTCTGTATTTTTATCTCCACACATTGTTTTAATTCGAACTCAAAATACTACGGCAGGTTCAGCCAGGCGTTGATCCCTGGTAAGTGTGGGCGTCGTGGGCTGGAGGAAGGTCAGACGAGCGTGGTGGTGGGCGGTGGTGGGCGTGGATCACTCATCAGGTGAGATAAAGTCACCTTCGTCTTAGCTGAAACATTTCTGCAGAATTGTGGAGTAAATTAATCTTAAAAAAAAAAACTGGATGAAGTAGAATACATATATTTTTCAGTGTCGTGGCGTCTCAGGTGAGACAAAACATTAACCAGTCTTCGTGAAGCTGGAATATTCTTGTAAAATTTAAAGGTAGATTTAAAAAAAAAAAACTTGTAATATATTATAATTTTCATTCCTCCATCTTGAGTAACAAAAAATAAAAATGAAAAGTCAGGAAAGCTTCCTTAGGCCTTAAAAAAATATTTCTGATTAATTTTTTTAGTTTTATTCGGTATATTGGTTATTTTTTAATAATGTAATTTAATATAATGCAATAATGTAATAGTGTTATTTTTCAGTTCTTTATTTTTTTTCATTTTTTAATCACCTTTTCTGTGTTGTTGGTGATCTTGACGATGATTTTTTGACAGGTACGAACCAGAGGTGTGTGTGGAGGGTGGTGAGGGCGGGCAAGATGGCGGAGTGGGCGGCCAGGTGGTGGGAGTGGGCGGCCAGGAGGTGTACACAATGTCCGCCCTTGTGGACGACCCCTTCAGTGACCGTCGCACTTTGGTCCCCACCCGCAGGAGGACCAGACATATCCCCGGGGAGGACGTCATCCTGGAGGAGGAGGACCTAGCCGAGGAGGAAGAAGAAGAGGAGGATGAAGAAGAGGAGGAAGATGAAGAAGAGGAGGAAGAGGAAGAGGTGGAGGAGGAGAGGAGGGGGGCAAGGAGAGGCAGGAGGAAGAGAGGAGTTGATATTCCTGATGATGAGGTGCTACTGGAGGAGGACATGGAGGGAGAGAGTGAAGGAACTCGGGATCACACAGCTCAGACACTAAGGGCTGTCTCCTCCAGGAGCAGTACCAAGGCTACCCTGGTGCCCGAGGAAGGCAGAGGAAGACGAGGAGGGGGCGCAGGTGTGGTGGGCAGGGGCGTGTGTGGGGCAGGGGGCAGGGGCAGGAGCAGGGTAGGACGAGGAACTAGCCAGGTAGTGGTGGTATCAGGTATTGACAATCCCTGCTATACTAGATGATGAGGCTTCCCCTGCCTCGCCTCACCCCACACTCCTCCCTCACACTTCTAGCTCCTCTCTCTCTCTCTCTCTCTCTCTCTCTCTCTCTCTCTCTCTCTCTCTCTCCACAACATAACTGACATCTTATTTACACATACTCCCTCCTCCTCACTTCTCTTCCTTCCTTGTTACGTTGTTATTCGCCTTCACTCTATATTCTACCCTCTTTATCTAAGCTTCGTAACTCCTCTGTTTTTATTTGTATTGTTTTAATGCGCTTCCGTCCTTCTTACCATTCTGTTCACAAACATTATATTCATAATGAAAGACTTTGCTTAAAGTATTCCTCTTAGATAAATCAATATATACCTATATAATAGAATATATATATATATATATATATTATATATATTATATATATATATATATATATATATATATATTATATATATATATATATATTATATATATAATATATATATATATATATATATATATATATATATATATATTATAAACTTATTAATATCATAAGAAATATGTGAATGTTATTGAACCACCTTTTAAAGGGAATCAAACTCCACGCTCTTTACTGATCTCTTAATCACATTATAAAGGATCGTGAATGTGACCGAGAGATCATGAAAACACTTGGAATTTAATCCTCTTTCATGGCTGCTAACCTGCTTACATATACACACACCAAAACAAATAATGTTTTTTGAAGTTCTCATTGACTTAACGCAAATGTCGAGAAGTTGTGTTTGATGAGTTACTTAAAGAGTTCCACTATATGAAATATAAAGAGGAAATATTAGACATTCTTAAACAGTTTGTATACAATTGTCAAGAGAAACTTGAGATAAACACTAGAGGCAGTGAGAGAAGACTAACACTAGAGGCAGTGAGAGAAGCCTAACACTAGAGGCAGTGAGAGAAGACTAACACTAGAGGCAGTGAGAGAAGACTAACATTAGAGGCAGTGAGAGAAGACTAACACTAGAGGCAGTGAGAGAAGCCTAACACTAGAGGCAGTGAGAGAAGACTAACACTAGAGGCAGTGAGAGAAGACTAACACTAGAGGCAGTGAGAGAAGACTAACACTAGAGGCAGTGAGAGAAGACTAACACTAGAGGCAGTGAGAGAAGACTAACACTAGAGGCAGTGAGAGAAGACTAACACTAGAGGCAGTGAGAGAAGACTAACACTAGAGGCAGTGAGAGAAGCCTAACACTAGAGGCAGTGAGAGAAGACTAACACTAGAGGCAGTGAGAGAAGACTAACACTAGAGGCAGTGAGAGAAGACTAACACTAGAGGCAGTGAGAGAAGACTAACACTAGAGGCAGTGAGAGAAGACTAACACTAGAGGCAGTGAGAGAAGACTAACACTAGAGGCAGTGAGAGAAGACTAACACTAGAGGCAGTGAGAGAAGACTAGCACTAGAGGCAGTGAGAGAAGACTAACATTAGAGGCAGTGAGAGAAGACTAACATTAGAGGCAGTGAGAGAAGACAACACTAGAGGCAGTGAGAGAAGACTAACACTAGAGGCAGTGAGAGAAGACTAACATTAGAGGCAGTGAGAGAAGACTAACATTAGAGGCAGTGAGAAAAGACTAGCACTAGAGGGAGGGAGAGAGAACTAGCAATAGAGGCAGGTACTATGGTTTTCCTGTCACACTCCATCACACAGGATGATTTGCCTGTATGCCGAAGTATATACAGAATCATTTGTGCTATTGAGGGTGAAGACAAGATGGTCCGTATGTCAGGCGCTAGTTCAGAATGTTGTGTCTTATACAAGTCACATTCATGACCTAGTCTAGGCTAGTCTAGGTTCTAGACTACCTCCTGCCTCCATTATTACTGCAGCCTCACCACCTGCTAATTATTTATCCTCATATTCAACACATAAAACTTCCCAGTGCCTGTGAAAGCTCCACTAATATCCTGGAGGTAATCTTGGCTTTGCAGCGTCGTGGATTGAACCATATGCTGAAAAAAAATATTACGTCTTAGAACATGATTGGTTAGGTTTCAAGCCTATCGAGTACTCGGTGGTTATTAAGGCTACATATCACCTGCACAGCCACTAGGCAAGAATACTACAATGAAGAGTATAGCAAACTCGTTGTATGTATATGCACTGAGAGATATACACTTATATGTATGTACATTGAGAGACATAACTCTGCACATACACCTATAGATGTACACCTCAGAGTATATACATTGAAAAGCGTACACCTCTCGGTGTATACACACTGAGAAATACATCTCTCGGTGTATACACACTGAGACATACATCTCTCGGTGTATACACACTGAGACATACATCTCTCGGTGTATACACACTGAGACATACATCTCTCGGTGTATACACACTGAGACATACATCTCTCGGTGTATACACAGACATACATCTCTCGGTGTATACACACTGAGACATTCATCTCTCAGTGTATACACAGAGACATACATCTCTCGGTTTATACACACTGAGACATACATCTCTCGGTGTATACACAGAGACATGCATCTCTCGGTGTATACACACTGAGACATACATCTCTCGGTGTATACACACTGAGACATACATCTCTCGGTGTATACACACTGAGACATACATCTCTCGGTGTATACACACTGAGACATACATCTCTCGGTGTATACACACTGAGACATACATCTCTCGGTGTATACACACTGAGACATACATCTCTCGGTGTATACACACTGAGACATACATCTCTCGGTGTATACACACTGAGACATACATCTCTCGGTGTATACATACATAACTAACGTTCACTACAGCTTAAATGCTATGTTCCATTATTTATCTCTTCTCTTTCATATTTTAAAGACGAATTTACAGATAATCGTCTTAAATAAGCATAAATGATCTATTATTATTATTATTATTATTATTATTATTATTATTATTATTATTACTTATATATTTGTTCCAACAATATTTTTTTCTGACGCTTCCAATGTTATTTGTAGTTGTGAGACCGACCTTGAAATATTGGTAAAATTCTGAAGTCTTTAGAAAACATGTCAACACACTTCATTATTATTCAATGGGGGGGAAGCGCTAAACCTGTAGGGTCCATGTGGCGGCTGAAGAATGGGAGGTGATTAGGTCTGATCCGAGGAAGAGAGGGAACTCCAATTGCTTGGATCAAGAACCCTCCACCAGCCTCCCCCTCACCCCCTCCCCTCCCTACATCTTTACCATATAATCAAAAACCATAATATATATGTTTACATTATAGTATATGAACAATTATTTATGTAGAAGATTAAAAAAAAATTGAGTATTTACAGTCTACATAATTTTAATAGTTTGAAGAACGGCAATTTTTTTTTTAATTTGGTCATAGGGATAGAATTTAGGCTCAAATAATCGCCTGCATATCGCTGCGCACCATTTTTCTTTTTTTCATGCACATCGCCTCGTCATGAAGTTTATACTTTTCAGTGTTGCTGCAAAATGAAAATAAATCATGCTAAGCATTAAACCCATGTGGGTCATTCAGGGCAAGACGTCGTGGAGGCTTGAACCTCCGTCTGCTGAGCGCCGGACACACGCACTTCCTATCTGCTGCAAAGAGATTAAAATATGTTTTGTGAACAATGGGTTGTCTTGTGTACTTGTAACCACAATGTCTCTCTTGACCAGACGAGGTCCTGGACCTCATGTCTACAAGCTCAACTAGCCTTCATTGTGACACCAATTTCCTCTAAATAGACCTTTATAAAGCTTTATCCAGCTCTGCTTAGAGTGAAGCGCTGTCCTGATATATGCTTCTTCTGCCTTCTTGTCCCTTCGTCCATACATCTGTCACAATTACGTCCTTCAAAGCATCTTATGTAGCAAGGGTAGTAGTAGGTAGCCCATGGCTATTGTTATCTAGCCAAACAACTATTCCTTTTCCTCGTTGCGTTCCTCAAGTTAGCCCCTTGGCTAGACCGCTTTATGATGGCTCTAAATAGATCTGTATTGGTCTTTAGGTCTGCCTAGATACAGGTAACTTAGCTAATCAGTCCTGGGGAACAAACCCTTCAATCAGGGATGGCCAAAACGTCTGTCGCTATCCATTAATATATATGGTGTACTTTTTTTATAATGGGTGTGGAAAATCTGTCATCACATGTTAAGATATATATTTTTTCTTCCGGTGTAGACCGACAAGGCAGCTGTAGGCCTCGGTCTTATGACAAGAAAAGTCCACCGACCGTCTCTAACTTTCAAAGAAATTTTTTCCCCAATTCTTCCGACAAACAAAATCCCACCAGGATATTTCCGGAGGTGATCTCAATATTTTTTCTTTGGATATCTTAGATAGTCTAGCGTAACACTAATAGATACTCCGGTAGCTAAATTACCCATATAGTCCAAAAAACAGTTTTCAGAGAGCCTAGGTAATATCAAGATAGCTCACTCTAGTGCAATCAGAAAATTTATACAGTTTGCTAAATTTTAATAAACTATATAATAGATTCGAGACTCTATATAGGCATAAGCATTCTCTATGCTTCACTCGGGTAGTCCTGATAGTCCTTGTGTAGTCCAGAGAGCTCCGGCTCCTGCAAGTAGCAAGTCTAAAATACAACGAGATAAAGAGAATGAATTTTGTATCAGTAAAATCTTACGTTTTTTTTTTTTTCCTCCTTCTTCCTATTATCCTTTTTGTTTCTATCATACTTCTCTTCCCTTTCCTCCTCCTCTTCATCCATCTGAAGCTACGGGATATGTATGTCGTGACCCGAGGCTCCTGTCACTTCCACGGGCCCCCACACACTTCCTAACCTCCCTTCCATATATTCCTTCGCTCTCCCTCACCTGCCACACACTCCCTGCCTGTTCCTCCTTCTCCCACACCTCCCTCTAACACTCTCCCACACCTCCCTCTAACACTCTCCCATACCTCCCTCTAACACTCTCCCACACCTCCCTCTAACACTCTCCCATACCTCCCTCTAACACTCTCCCCCACCTCCCTCTAACACTCTCCCACACCTCCCTCTAACACTCTCCCACACCTCCCTCTAACACTCTCCCATACCTCCCTCTAAAACCTCTCCCCCACCTCCCTCTAACACTCTCCCCCACCTCCCTCTAACACT